GTTTTGTAATTTTACTATACCCGATTGTAATTTTAAATAAATGTTTTGCCTATTAGCTTCCAATACATTTCTTGTAAAATTACAATAGAAATTTTTAACAGTGTACACAAATACTTACAGGAAGTTTAGTTAGCGGTGATCCGAACAAACCACTTACGAATGATACAAAAATAATAATAAAATAGGCTACCACAGTGCCAGTCGAAATGTACTCTGTCGGTATTGATTCAGCATTTAATTTGATATTCAAAAGTGGAATCGTTATGTTATTCTCTGGTATTTTATCCACTAATTCATTCAAAAGAGTTTCATTTTTTGAAGAATCTGAGAATGCTTTACCCCGTATATCGAGGCCAAATATACAACAGACAACTATCTGCAATTTATTTTCATTTTTAATTTGATAAGTCAATTAGTATGTTACATTCATTCTTTAACAATATTTTATTTTCAACTTACAAATTGTAAGATTTTAATGAATGAAATTGTTGGACAGCAGGCCATGATGCTCTAAGAAGATAAACAGAATAATGTTATTACTAGATAAGATTAATCAAATCAATTGTGACTCATGTTTTCTAATAATTAATAAAATATTTATATTTTCTTATATATAAAGATGATATATTTTTTTTTGAAATTATACTGACAAAAACTATATGAATAAGAAATAACAAATATCCATGTGAGAAATATATATTTTAGTATTTACGGAAACATTATATAAAAAAATATATTTCTATACTTAGAAACAAAAATCTTTGGTAAGAAGAATAATTTTTTTCACTAAAGAAAATATTTTTTGGAAACGAACTTTATTTTCGCCAAAAATCTATGTTTCATTACTTAATTTTCTGATAATGCTATAGTCTTTCAGTCTATCTAATTAATATTAATTACTTAAAAAACCAATTGATTGAATAAATATTGAGTATTAATAAATCGTTGACAAGAATGTTATACAAAAATAATTACAGTTATCTATTATTCGGGATATAATAACTAAACTAATTTAAAAATCTTACCGTTGAATAAAAATTGCTTTGTTAATATCAAAATTCTCTTGAAAAAAGTGTCTACTTCAATATTACTTTGGCTTACTGATATCAATCACTGACGTACTATTGAATCGTTAAACGTGTCAGAGTCATTGCAAAACTTTGCCGTGATAAGCGTTCATTTTTATTGTTTCAAACTAATACAGCTCACCGATATTGATAACAGAGGTAATTTATATGTATTAATGAAATCCGCAGAAAGATAAAATAAAATTTGATAAGGTGTTCATATGATGATGCACTATCTTAACAGTTGCGGATATAAAAGAGTATTTTCTGCATTTTATTTTTTTTTATATCATGGAAAAAAAAATATATGAGTAAGTAGGTTAATTAGTATTCTCGGTTTGAGAATTACTGCTAAGAATTCAATGCCATATTAAGATAATGAACTCGTTAAATTTTTAAAAGAGCTGTGGGAGTCATATCTTCCACCACTCTTTTGTAATTTAATTTAATTATTATTTATAAGTATTAATATTAATTCATTATCATTTATGAATATTAATATTATTTAGTTATTATTTATATTTATTAACATCGTTTAATTATTATTATTATTAGCATATAATTATTTAGTTAATAATTATTATTATTATTTATTAGTAATAGGTAATTAATATAAGAATTACTTAAGTTGTAGATTTTTCTATAACGGTATTAAAATTTTGTTTAAAAAGTTTCAGTTGGGTCTCATCACCATAAATTATACCAGATTATAATTTACTTGGTGATGCCAAACAACTGATAAGTCTCGTCTGCAGCAAAAGCATTTCTTTGGAAATTTTAGTTTATTGTAATTTTGGTGCAATATAATAAAATTCACATTTGCCGCTGGCGAGACCCTAATAAAATGTATTGTTATAAAATTAAAAATATGTATAAGTTTGTTATAAGAAGCTTAAGGGTTTTTCCCAAATATTTTCCAATAAATATCCCAATATCCTACCTTTTCTAAGAAGCAATTAAGGGATTAAAAACTCTTGTCGCATGGCCAGCGACCGGACCCATGAGTTCAGCAATTGCTCTGTACCTATACCTATACCTATACTTCTATACTTCTATATCTCTATACTTCTACTTCTATAATTTTTACATACTTTCAGAATCTATCCTATATCTAGACTTACTTGTACCTAGTTCCATACTTACGTACAAATAAGTACTCCTATCCTATATATTTTCTCAATACTTCCTTCGAGTACCCCCACCTCCTGAGAGGTCAGAGGCCGAGATGGACACTTTGAGAAAATGAGTTAGTCCTGGAAACCCATCAGCTTCACCTCGTATTTTTAAGTTACACGCGTGTATTAACAGTTAGATTTATTTAAATAAAATTTATTAAACTTAAATATTTCTATTCGCTCACCCGCTAGCCCTTACTTCCCAAAGAGCTATTAAGAAAATATTTTTGTTCTTATCTAAACGTGTAATTTCCCGTATTCATAATTATACTTGATAAAAATTACAGTTTTTATAAAGTTGTACAAAAGTTATCAACGTTCTAATTAGGAAATTGCCTCTATATTTTAATGGTGATACTTTGAAATTTTTAAATACTTTGGGAATAGATTGTGTGTGTGTGTTTTTTTTTTTTTTTGGGGGGGGGGGAGCCTTTTTACGGATTCTAGGCATAGATGTTGGCCCGGATATGTGGCG